ACTTTGAAAAAATTGCAAAGTTGATTATTTCCATAATTTCTTGATCGACATATTCTTCTCTGAATCCTTTTGCATCACCTTCGCTACAGCCATCTCAAAATCTTCTTGAGTTACGTGAACTCGACGTTCTCTAAGAGCATACATTCCAGCTTCCGTGCAAACACCCTATAATATAAATAATATATATTATTTGCATTGTAAAATATGAAGTAATGCATATAAAACATTTGATAAATTTCGATTTTTTTTAGTATAAAAATGAAATATAAGAATAACTCTCTAAAATTCTCTATTAAAATTTAAGAGGAATAACTCAAGATCCTTATATTTTAATCTATATTCTTTTTTTAAGGCTTAAATTTTTGGAGTAAAATAATTTATTAAGAGCAAAGAATCGGATTTCATTTGATATTTATTCTATGATAATTGTATGATGAAACTGTAATGTAAAGATATGTATTTATATTTCATTACCTTGACTTCTGCTCCTGATGCACCTGGCATAAGTTCAGCTATTTTTCTGAGATTTATACCACGTGTCAAATTCATTTTTCTAGAATGAATCTTTAAGATGTCCAATCTAGCCTCTTCATTTGGAGGTGGAAATTCTATCTTACGATCGATACGTCCGGGTCGCAATAATGCTGGATCTAAGATATCAATTCTGTTTGTAGCCATAATAACCTTTATGTTTTTCGTTGCTTCAAAACCATCTAATTGATTAAGCAATTCTAACATGGTACGTTGTACCTGAAAGTATAATTTACGATATAATTAAAAAGATTAAAATTAATTCATACCATATTCCATACATACTTCACTATCACCACCAGATCCAGATTCAATCCGGGAACTTCCAATGGAATCGATTTCATCCATGAATATTATAGACGGTGCATGTTCTCTTGCCATGACAAAAAGCTCACGAACCATACGCGAACCTTCTCCAATAAACTTTTGAACTAATTCAGATCCAGATACACGAATGAAAGTGCACTCGGTATGATGCGCGACTGCTCTTGCAAGTAAAGTCTTGCCGGTACCTGAAAAATTTGGCATTGTCATTACTATCAAAGATTACGATAGATAACTAAAATAATTATAATAAAATATAAAGATTTCATATATATATATATATATATATGTTATATGTTTTAACTTTTTGAACAGTTCATCTCTTTCTTCTTTTTCTTTTCATACTAAAGAGAAAAAGAAGAAAAATGAACTATGTAAGTTCAGCTAAAAGAAAAAATATCTATAATAAATTTGTTACCTGGTGGTCCATATAGCAGTACACCTTTAGGCTGCGCAATTCCAAGAGCATCAAATAATTCTGGATGTTTGACAGGCAATTCTATAACCTCTTTAATCTCCTTTATTTGTTTATCTAAACCTCCAACCATTTCATATGTAGAATCCGGCACTTTCTCTACCATCATAAGAGAGACGAGCGGATCGACTTTATTCGGTAGTATTTTATGCAGAGTATAACTTTCATTACGCAGAGCAACACGCGAGTTTGGAGTCACATCATTGATGTCGATGTTCTTGTCTATATCCACTACAAATTTGCCTTCTGGATGTACTTTGACTAAGACTTTCTTCTTATCCATAGGTTTAACTACTTCTCCTACATAGGAACCCTGTTCTTGTAGGAGTTGTAATTCTTCCCGTAGCATGCGCACTAAGAAAAAAACAATTAAAGAATTGTCTTGTATAATTAAGAGAGAATATGATCGATATTCATAGTCAATTCTTATATTTAAGACTCTTAAATACAATCTTAAAATAAACCAATCAAAGAGCCATATTAGCAGTTTTTATAGATCAATGACATACACCAATGACAGTTGCATTATCAAAACAAAATAGTCACCTTTTGCGTTGAGTTCATTACGTTGTGCTTGCAATCTTCTTAAATTTTGACTTTTCTCAGCAACAATTAATTGTAATTCCTCAATCTTTGTAATGTAATATGGTTTAAAGCCTTCACCTTTAGCATTCTTCTCGTCGATATCCATCTGCAAAATTTCAGAATGTTCAGTTACAGATAGGAAAAATATTTTCAGTCGCTGGCGTAATAATAAAAATATTAAACATTTTTCTTACCTTATTTGTGAGAGTCATGATTGAGCAGAGGAACAAATATTTTGCAGATAGATATTGAATATTATCTTTATTTAGTAAAAGAAATAATGTCGGCACGACTTAACCCTACTTGCTCCAAAAATCACTTGTCACTTGCCATCTTCTTAGCCGACATTAAGTTCGATTTATATGAGCAGCAATTTGTAGTCATTTTTCATTTGTGAGCTCACACTCACACAAACAAAAGGAATGAAGCCTTGTGCATATTAGAAGAAGGTTCTGTGCATAATAAAAGGAATAAGGAATTAGAAATAAAAAATAAATGATTTTAACCTATTAGAGATCAGATATATCGGAATACATGATTTCTGATAGATTGAAATCGTTTATTGTTTATTCTTAATTCCTTATTCCTTCTATTGTGCACAGAGCCGAAATATTAGCAGTTAATAGGAATAAATATTTGGATTTGGACTTATCAGGATCTAATTACATTAAACTACATGATTTTGAAATCTTAATATTTATTTCTATTCCTAATATTTCTCCCATTATGTTTAAGCTTTAACATGTCAGAAACTGTATTCTGATGTAATCAGTTTTTTGCCGATATTCATAATTAGTTCTTATTTCAAGATCTTAAGTAAGTTTTAAGACATTAAGGCGACTCTTTCATTAGTTTGTGACACCTCAAGACAGAACTTAAGATGATCTTGAATATAAAAACTGAGTACTGTCTTTGGATAGATTGAGATTTTAGGCCGGTATTTAAAGTTGGTTCTTATTTTAAAGTCTATTCAGTTGGTTCTACATTAGTTGCAAGTCGATCGCAAGTTCGTTGCTACAGCCAATCTGAAGCTTGCATTTTGAAATCAACACTTCAGATTGGTTGTCGCAACAAACTTGCGATCGGCTTGCGACTAATGTAAAACTGGCTTTACATAATGCGTAATGCATAAGAAAATGGACCAATCAAAGTTCTTCGTTTTCTTCCTTTCCATGAAATAAAGAACTCTGATTGATTGGATTTCTTATGTCTTATGTGTTATGCATTATGTAAAGGGCTCCGCACAATAAAAGTAACAGGAAACAGAGAACAGAAAATAAGAATTTCAATCTATCAGAAATCATGTATAGTGGAATACAGTTTCTGATAAGTTGAAATTCTTTTTATTGAGCGGAGCCCCTAAGAGTGCTCCTCGCTTAAGAATATATCCACACAAACTTGTATAGCCGCATAAACGTATGCATAAAGAAAATTACATCATTATAATCACATTTACGTGCGTCTTTATAGGAGAAATGTGATTGGATAGAGCGGGAAGCACAGGTTTTTGCATAATGCATAACAAATGAGCACAAAAAAATGAACCAATCAAAGTGCTTTATTTCTTTTCTTTCTATGAAATAAAGGACTCTAATTAGTTTGGTCTGACTGATTTCTTATGCCTCAAGTTTTATGCGTTATGTAAAAGTCTGTATACGTAATGTATAAGAGAATGTAATTTCGAAGTTCTTCGTTTTCTTCTTTTTCATGAAATAAAGAATTCTGATTGATTCAATTTCTTATGTGTTATGCATAATGTATAAGTGCTCCCCGCTTTAATGGCTGCATTTAACACATTTAGAAAAAGATTACGTTTACACGATTCGATTTACGCTAAAGTTATAATTTCGATGTTAGGTAACTGACTAATCACAGTCATTCCATTCTTCAGGGGAATAGCTATGATTGGCCAGTTTCATAACATCGATGTTATAACTTCGACGTAAATCGAACTGTGTAAACTGGTGTAAACATAATACACATGAATACATGTCGCAAAACGAGTCGTGCATCTATCTCGACGATGTTTTCGTGGCATAAATATGTAAATACAGTATGGCCGAAAGAAGCGGAAGCTTCTCCACTTTCCCGGATGGCATTTCATTATGCGATTGAGGAAGTTGTAATGTTTTGTTGTTCAATGTAATTTCGTGGATTCACGAATTCTCGAAACGAAATGACATAAATGGTACCGCCGTGATCTTTCACAGCATATTTCGACTGATCCGACAAGAATGTCACTCGGTCGCCACTGGTAAGAAAGAGAGACAGAGAGAGTGAGAGGGAAAGAAAGAGATGTTATGTTTATATCTCGGTGAAGTAGGAGGACACATTAGTGAATTCTAAATTCTCGCGGGAGGATGGAATGCAACGAACGGAGACATCAGTACACATTTTAATGCAATGCCGCGGCAGGCTTACACCGCGTGCCCTGACATTCCGCTCGTCGACGATGTCAAAGCCATAGGCGCTGCCATGGACACGGACGTGGATCTCAGCAAGGGTGAAGGATGCGAGACTATCCCGGGTTGCTCTGGCTACTCTAGCATGGTGCATAGTAAGAAGGTTATTAAGCATGCTTTACGACAGCAAGCCAAACGGCGTAGGAAGAACACGACAATAGCGGCGGGTAATTCCCGCACGTTGCCCAGGATCGTTGTCAAACCGCTACCGCCACCGCCTCCGAACGATCCACCATCTCCAATTAATAATATGCAACACGTTAACACTGGTAATCTCAAGTCCTTTGATATATGTTATTTGTTCTATCTCTGCTTTTTGTTCATACAGAAGAAGTCAATGGAATTCGGTGATTTCTAAATAGAGAACTTTAGTGATACAATATGCAAAAAAATATTTAATTTTACTTTACTTCCTTTATATAATTTACATATATTTATTTAACATTACAACACACACATTATATATGTGTTGTAATGCTCTGACATATATTAATTTTTGACGTATACTTCTAATTCGATAGACATTAACAAATTGCAATTTATTAATATTTTGTTATATTAGAAAATTACAAATAAAGACAAGATTTGTTTCCATGTTAATGAAAAATTAAAAAAGGAAAGACATAAAATAATGTTTATATATATATGTACATACACATGTATATATATATA